CTGACATGCAGCTGCTGTGAAAGCCATTTGATCCCCAAGGGGTCATGACCCACAGTTGAGAACAGCTGGTTTATGGTGCTGTTTCTTTGGACATTTCTTACATTTTGCTCTCACGGATATTATGAAGTTCACCCTTGATTACAGGATTTCAATCTTCTAGTTTTTTGGGTCCTGGGTGTGGATCCATGACCTCACGTTGCTAAATTAACACCTCCCCACCCCCCAGCTACTACTGCCAGCCCTTGCTCTACTTTTCAAGATTTGGTCTTCTAGCCACTGGAACAACCTAGGAGTATATCCAGTCTGTGTGTTGAGGGCCCTGCAGATGAGCTCTGAGCCCCACTCTCGGTGCTATGATCCAGCTTTGCCTGATTTGGTGTTTGAAGAGGGAGAGGGTGGGTTGAAGAGGGAGTGGTGGGCTGGCAGTGCCACACGTGATTTTACTTTCCTAAGGAAGCCCACCAGCAGCATGGCCGGACACAGCCACTCATTGTGTTCTCTTTGCAGGGGATTATCCTGTCTCTGCAGGCTGCATGTGAATGAAGTCCTTCCTGTCATAGGGGCTGTTCAGGGCAAAGCATTACTTCTGGGTTCTGTGACGTCTCCCTGGCTATCTGATGGGCCAGCAGTGGATTGTGTGTGTGTGTCTGTGTGTCCAACTCTGCCGTGAAGGTTGTGGTTGGAAAAAAATCAACCAAGTAGACTGGGAGTGAGGCAGTTTGTGCCAGGAGATGAAGATGGCAGGGGTGGTCCTCATCTACCAACTTCTTTTATATATATTATGTATACAATATTCTGGCCAGAAGAGGGCACCAGATCTCATTACAGATGGTTGTAAGCCATGTGGTTGCTGGAAATTGAACTCAGGACCTTTGGAAGAGCAGGCAATGCTCTTAACCTCTGAGCCATCTCTCCAGCCCACCTACCAACTTCTTAAAGCTAGTAAGACATCTCCACATTGAGATAAGGATGAATGGTGCTGGAGCCTAGGTGCTTGCTGTCATTTTGAAGGTGGTTTTGTGGGTTCCCACTATAACAAGGCAGATAAATCATCAGAACTCTTAAGCTAGCATCTTGTGTGAAAAACAGTTTAGTTTCCATGGACTGTTAGATAGGCCATGCTCCTGGGCCCATAGAACACCTGTCCAATACTTCTGCTTATAGGGTAGCCATGAAGACAAAGACTAGAGGGTTCAAGAGAATTGTTTCTGAAACAAGACTGGAAGGAACACATCATGGGACAGTGTGAAAGTCACAGCATGGTACTTGTTACTCTTGCTCTTGGAGCTTGCAAACACAAAGCAGTCTGTATTGGGGCTAGGTCCAGGCTGGGCGCTGGGGTCAGCAGCCCAGCCCAGCTTCGTTCACAGAGGAGTCAGGCTTGGTAATGTCCCAGTGGTCCTGCTGTGTCTGCCGTGCTCCAGACTGCTAAGTGGAGAAGCTTCAGGACTCTTGTCACAGCAGCCAGTTCATTGATTTTGGGGTGATTTGTGAGGACAGCAAGCTGGAAGGAGTGCTTGGATAAATACACGGCAAATGAGCCCTCCTAGGAAGTGCATAGTGAGAAAGCCGGAGCAGAGGAATGACCCATGTCTGGGTATCTCCCACCTCTGTTTCCGGTCCCAGCACTTCATGCTCTCCAGGGCTGGGCTAGGGGATTTCCTAGTGGGGATTTTCAAGAAAGCCCTGAGAGCTGGAGGGCCCTCTGCGCAGGAAGGTGACAGCCACGAGAGGGATTGTGGGCATTGGCTGTCCACCACTTGGGCCCTCAAGCACAACAGAGAAACCACATGTGCCTGAATCCTGAGTTACTGGTTTGCTAGCTTCCTCTCCTGAGAACAAGGCTCAGGTCCTGGAGGATGGTGAGGCACAGTGTGTAGTGTTTTTGCTCGGCTTTCTGCTAGTCGTATAAACTTAGTTCTTTTTAAAACTTTTACACATTTATTTGAGTGTGTGTGTGTACGTGTGTACGTACGTGTGCGTGCACACATGCACCAGTGTACAAGTGGAGACCAGAGGACAACTTGAGATTTGGTCATCTCCTTCCATCACAAGGGTCCTGGGGATAAGACTCCATCTTGCCGTTTGCCAGTCCTGAGACAACAAAAGCCAGTGTTCTCTGAGAGGTTAGTTGTTTCACTCAACAGCAGTAAACAGAGCTCTTTGAAGGTGTGCTGTGTATTCCCAGCCTGGGGGAGGTAGGGGGTTGGAGTGCAGAGAGCCTACAGGAAAAAGGAAGCGGGCCACCCTCTCAAGTGACTGGCTTCCTGCTATAGATGTCCTAGCCAAGTTCTGGAAGCCAGAAGCGGGAACTTGCCCAACCAGGGTGGTGAGCTTGTCAGACTGCTCCACTGAGGGCCATTGCCTGTAAAAGTCCGCCAGGGATACTTTTATTTATTTCTACTGGGGTTGAACCTCGTTGGGTGTGTCTAGGTGGAACCTGCAGATCCAGCAGGACTGTTGGGAAGGGTGCTCCTGAAGCAGAATGTGGGGGAGGTTCCTGTCTCTTGTGACTGGATGCGAGCCTGGTAAGACCTGGCTCTGGGCGGACACCCATCCTGCTACTGAGGTAAGTGAGAAGAGCAAGAGGCCACTATCCTGAGGCTCGGCACGCCCCTCCCCCCCAAAAAAGGTTTGTGGTGGGCATCACACACATGAGAAAGTGGTTTCCTTCATGAGTTACACGCGGTCAACATGCTCGCCCTCCCTTTGTCCTTCCACCATTCTTCCCTCTCCCTTTTATCAAATATGGGGTGTTGCTCAAACTGTAGTCTAGACTGGCCTCCAGTGCACCGCCATTCTGCCTCAGCTTCCCCTGCTGGGATTACAGGCGTGCACACACATGTCCATCATATATTATTGTTTGTTTATTACGATTTTTCGAGACAGGTTTTTTTTTTTTTTTTTTGGTAGACTAGGCTGTCCTGCAATTAGCTCTGTAGACCAGGCCGACTGGCCTTGAACTCACAGAGATCCACCCTTCTCTGCCTCCCAAGCAGAGATTAAGTGGGGATTAAAATTAAAGGCCTGGCTCTTATTTAGTTTTTAAACATTCCATGGAATGAATTCACAGGTGTTCTCTGCTCTGGAAAGGACAGTCTGGCCCGGCGTCTCTGGTCTTTCCTGTGTTTTTCTGGACACCAAGGGCTGTGTTGAATGCTCAGTCTCTCCATAGTGTTGGGGTGACTGGCTAGCTGTGGGGCACCCCAGGGATCATATGCAACACCCCCAAGGGACCAGTAAGTGTTCACATTATCCTCCATGCCGTCATTCCTGTCAGTCTGCTTCTGACCCGTCACCACTTACCTGCCACGTTAGGGCTGAATAGTCAGGAAATGTGTTCTGGGTTGGGGGTTTCAGAAACCCCGTGGGTGCTCCCCAAAGTATGCCTTTCCCTCAGCAGTCTTGGGAAACAGTGCCTTAACATGGGGTGCATGGTAATTTTCCTCTCTGATGGTCCCAGATCTCAGGCTGTGGTCTCATTCAGAAATGTTTCTTGCCTGCAGATGAGTCTATGGACTCACAAGCTTGCCCATGCCACATCTTGCCCTCAGCAGGCAGTGTGACTCAGCAAGATCCCCAGGCTCTGGGCCATCCCAGGACACGGAGGATGGGTGTGAACAATGCGGTCGAGATTGGCACCTCTGGACAGGCTATTGCTGCTGGCTTATCTTTGTGCATGGTTGGCTAAATGGAAGCAAAATGGTCGGGGAAGACATCTTCACTGGATGCCCGTAAACAGCCTTGACAAAGCTGGCAAGCTCAGTGCTCTGGATTCCCCCACCCCTCAGGTGTTTTGAGACAGGGTTTCTCTATGTGATAGGCCTGGCTGTCCTGGAGCTTTGTAGACCAGGCTGGCCTCGAACTCAGGATTAAAGGTGTGTGCCACCACCACACCACCATTGGGTTTGGGAGTTTAATGAACCTTGTGACTGTAGTCCCAGAAGTGAAACTTGACCCCAGTTTTTCATTCTGTGTAGGGCTGCTGTCTCCACACAGTGGGGAGATAGGCGGGTTCTCTGTTACCTTTCTCCACGAGTCTGGCTCCAGCAGAGCCTGGGCTCATGGGAGGCGTCCAAATGAGAACCGGTCTACAATACTTTACAGATTTCCTTGAGCAGGTGCCTCCCAGTGCCAAAAGGAGCAGCCACCTGTAGGGTGGCAGTGCCTGTCGTGGTTTGCTACCAAAGGAAGGCGACTCCTGCAGGTCTCTTGCTGCGTTGACACACAGACTGAGAGTTGGTAGAAGGGCAGCCGCTCATAGGTGAGCAAAGGTTCGCCCTCCTGGCAGCTGAGTGTCAAGAGAGCCACTCACTGCCTTCAGCTTTAGGGTTGGTACAAATTGTAACAGTTCAAAGTTGCAGGGGATCAAAGTCAGTCCTTTAATTGTTGCTTTCTTGTTTTATTTTCAGTATTCATCTAGTGTGTAAAACCTTCAGAACCCTTTTCTGTTTCTCCAGAGAGAGCAGCCTTCTCAGTGATGATGGGAGAGTGTTTGGGGTGTGTGTGATGAACTGTGCTACAGACCTGGCTGGGAGCTCTCTGGGAGATTGCCTGGGGCCTGGCTCTACCCTGCAGGCATGGTGGGCAGAGAGTGTCCGCGGCTTCTGCAGTCCTCCTAAGCCACTTCGTGCTTGTGCAGAGGTGATGCGTCCTTGGTGCTGGCCTATGGACATGCCAGGGCTGGATCTGGTGCCTTTCTGCAGGGCTGCATTGTCCGGTTGGCAAGAACCATCTTAAGCAGTATGCCAGACCTCGTGCCTTGATCGTGCACTCAGAATCTAGCTAGATGATGGCATTGCAGCAGAGACAGCACAGTCAGTTTCTCTGGGGTTGCTTTATATCCCCATCTGGGAAGAGGATGTTCAGGCCCGGCAGTGCAGTGGCGAGCATGGTCGCTAGAGATTGGAGCCATCTTTGGGGGAAGAAGGTGGGTGAAGCCTTTTGCTCCCAAGGGAGGGTTGCAGCTCACAGCTCTCCCTGGTGTGCTGTGCTTTCAGGTGTGGCCGACGAGAACGCCTTTGCAGAAGAATGCCAGCGGAGAGGCCAGCAGATGCCAGCTCTGGCCCCTGGCCCGGCCCCAGCAACAGTCCGGGCCCTCTCCCCGGCCCGGCCCCCGGCCTCAGCTCCAGCCCCGACTCCGGCCCCTTCTATCAGCACCCGCACACAGAAGCCACCCAGGCCTGCCCCGACGGCCAAACTTGTGTCTAAAAGCAACTGGGAAGATGAAGAGCAGGACAGGCAGCGGGTTCCTGGCAACTGGGATGCCCCCATGACCTCAGCAGGTGTGCAGAAGGGAGCTGGTGTGGAGCACCCCCAAAGTGGTTTGCCCCCAGACCCAGGACAGCGAAAACAGCAAGCAGGCCTATGTTGCTGCATTCTGACCTGAGCAGGCTTGGGGAGCTGGGGGAAGGTGCCAGGCCTGCTGAGCAGGGGCAGAGGAGATCCCTGCACCCAGCTCACCTCCCACAGCTGCTCTATGGACAGCCTAGCTCCGTGGTTCAAAGCCAACCCCATGATTAAAACGGGGGTCCCAGTATTCTGATGTGTATGGAGTATGTTGTCTGGGTTTAGTTGACTGCTGAGGAAATGCCCGGTGTTGCTTCTGTCCCCAGTGGCTCCTTTTTATAATTTTGATACTAGATCTTGAGATTTGTCACTTCACCTGATTTGCCCAAGGCCACTTGCACACTTATGTTAGCTTCATTTTGCAGAAAAAAAGATACAGTCAGGTTCCCAGTAGAGTGCTCGCAGGTGAGCCACTGGTGAAGGTGGAGGCCTGGCTGCTCCCTCAGTGCTCATGTTGGGATCGTCCACTGCCACTGCCCAGCTCTACCCTCAGCCAGCTGCTTATACATCTTCAGGAGCGTTTCCTGTAGAACATTCTGGATGGTCAGCATGTACACATAGAGCTTTCCCAGTCAGGCCCAAGCCCCCTATCAGTGTAGTTTTATTGCCCATAAGTGAGACAAGCTTGTGCCTGTGGCTGCACAAACTCAGCAGGCCAGACTGCAGAGATGTGGCTTGGTTGTCCATGTCTGATTGTGTTGCAAAGTGCTCCAAGTAGGAAACAGGGAACGATCAATTCTTTTGCTTCCCAGAACTTTGTATTAAAGTCAAGCCCCCAAATCCCTTTAGGTTCTCCTCAGAGGAGAATGCAGAGAGCCCTCTAGGGTAGAGTCCCCAATGGGTAAGGCATTGCTGGAACTGGGCAGCAAGCATATAGTTACCCTGCTGTGGGGAGATGCCAGCAAAAACAGATGGGTGACTGGGACACAAGCTTTGTGCAACTGAGTGACAGATGGGCAGGGCTGCCTGACTGCATAGGAAGCTTTCGTGTGCCTCAGTGGCTATGGACACCTCCCAGTGTCTACTCCCGGTGCTCCCAGGAGAACTGGGAAGGGTGGTGGGAGGTCAAAGCAGCAGACTTGTAGATTTTACCCCCTCACTTCCCCAATCCCCTTCATGTTCATTTGTGAAGGCATCTTAAGGCTGACCCGAGAGTCAAATCTCCTGGTTTCTAGAAGGTGCATAGGGACAGGCCTGCCTGCAGAACTTGTTTACAGGTGCGCAGGCCTCCCACCATGGGATCTGGACAGGAAGTGTGACTGCAGCAGATGGCCATTCTCTTGGTCCTGGGCCACGCCTGTTAAGCAAAAAGTGATCAGCCAAGGCCGAAGAATCTGGAGACAGTAGAGTTGAGTAGTAAAAACAGCAAATCACTCTCCCCTTGTTGCTTGGTCAGTACTGATCCAGACCTCTTCTGTGTGTGTGTGTGAACTGAGAGTCTGGAAAAGCTGTGAATGAGGTGATGGTCTTGTACATCCCCGAGTCTGGAGTCAGAAGCATCTGCCAGCATATTTCTGGGTGTAGCTGGTGCTTCCTCTTCTCTGTCCCTTTGCTCCCCATGTTTTTAAGGAACCATGCTTTCATATAGAAAAGTGTGAGCAGTCCTTCACGTACCTTCTGTAGGAAAGTGTGAGCAGTCCTTCACTTATCTCTTCTATGGAAAAGTGTGACCAGCCCTTCTCTTGCCTTCTGTAGAAAAGCATGTGACCAGCCCTTCTCTTGCCTTCTATAGGAAAGCGTGAGCAGCCCCTTCACTTACCTTCTCACTCAGAAAAGATGATTCATTTTGAAGTGGGGTTCTCCAAATTGCCACCTGAGCTACACGAGAACTTGGGTTATCAACAAAGTGAAAACAAACCCGTCGTGAAGGACATTAGAAACTTAGCTACGGTTCAAAAGCGGTTTCTGGTTTCCACAGCGACAAAGCCATGACCTTTGGGCAGCATAGCTTGCTCTGTACTGCAAGCCGCTGTCCTCCAGGCAACACAGAAAGCTTTGCAAAGTCTGGTGCTCTGCTGTTGGGATCAGGAGGATTAAGACCAGACCTTTCCTCTTAACATTCTGAGAGCCATGTTGAAGAACTAAGATGATCTGGGCCAGGCTTCCTGCCTGTGTAGCCTTCAGTGGTTTTGCTGTTACTGTTGTTTTTGCCTGGTCTTGGGCAAGTTTGAAACTTTGTGCAGAATTTCCCAGTGGCAGCTCCCATTGGCTGTCGGCCAGAGAGTTGTCAGGTACAGTCTAGATGAGCCAGGCCGGTTGGCATCAGGATGGGGAGTTTCCTCAATGAAAGCGATTTTCACTGAGGTGTCTTCATAAAGAAGGACTTTGCAATTCAGGCCAACCTGGCATGTCAGTCCCCCAGGAGTTTCATGGCTTTAAATTGTGTGTGTGTGTGTGTGTGTGAGAGAGAGAGAGAGAGAGAGAGAGAGAGAAACTGGATTGTCCATGTGCTAGGTAAGCTCTGTATCCCTGAGCCTTGGATTTAGTATGTATTATGTTGACTTTTTTCTTCTTTGTGGGCTATTCTGTGACCTTTAAAACTTGTTCTGCTGCACTTGTTGGAGAAAGGATTAGTGGCATTTTTCATTTGTGTATTCCATACACAGCATTGGTCTGTGAACTGTGAAGAACACATGTCCATTAAAAATGGCAATTATTCAACATGAGGAAAATCATGTTTGAAGGAGTAGACCTATCCTTCCTTCTTGCTGAACTTGACCCTGCCCTGTGTAGTGGTGTGGAACGCAGACCTCTTCACAGGGCACGACTTGTAATTCAGAGAGCTGGACCTTGCATCTAACTCTGCTGCTGGCCTGCATCTTTGCGCCACCACCTGCCAAACTAATGCATGTGCTAGGATTTTGGTGGATCTCACTGTGGGAATTTTGAGGTGTCATTGGGCCTGTTCTAGAAGTTGGGGATCTGAGATTTCTTGTGGCTCTTCCTCAGCATGAGGCCCACATCCTACCTGCTTCACTGTGGCCAGGGACTACTAAGAGCTTCTGCAGGACTGAAGGCAAGGCCGTTCATTTCTGGCTCATTGGAAATGTCCAGAGACTGAGCCTCCATCCATCTCCTGTGGCCTTGGTTGGTAAGGTTGTGCTTTAATGACAGGAAAAACGACAATGGTGTTCCAGGGAGAGTGGGCTGTCCATTGCAGAGGGAGCTGTGGAAGGTCTCTGTGGACCTGGCAGAGTAGGTGACAGGGCTGTGCGTTCTGCGGGTAGGGCCTTGGCAGGGCCTCTGAGGACTGAGATGGAGCCTGTTGCACAGAGCTGGCTCTGTGACTGGGCTGCTGGGTAAATGCAGGATGCTTGCTGTGAGTAGCACACTGTGTGGTGGTCATGTTCTGTGAGTAACACGGACGGTCTTCAGCCTGCTATTCCAAACAGTTAGTGTTTTCATGTGGGCAGCATGAATGACTGTTCTGTTGTCTCTGTCCGTGGGGAAGTGTCTAGTGAGTGACGCGCCTCATGGGGAAGCAGTTGGTGTGCAGTGTTTCACAAGCCATGTTTCCTTAGGGCTCAAGGAAGGTGGCAAGAGGAAGAAGCAGAAGCAGAAAGAGGACTCGAAGAAGAAGAAGTCGACCAAAGGGAACCACTAGGCTGAACTTGGCGGCAGCCGCTGCAGCCGCTCTCATGTGTGGTGCGCACGTGCACAGCAGCGGCATCCTTTCGGTGCCGCTTCGCTTAGCAGGATTATGGACATGTGCCCACGGATCGGTAGGATCAGGGGTGTTGGAGATGGAGGTGACAATCTCGGGTGGCCCGCATAGTGTAAGCTTGTGACACATCCTCAGCCTTGTAACTCTGCTTTTCCCCAGCACTAAATCCGTAGCATTTTCCTCTTGAGTTGTAAGGATCTGCCTCATTCTTTTCAGTAGTCCGAGCCCTGCTCCGCGCACCGAGGTGTTTGTAGCTGTAGGAGTCCAGTAGGGCCCAGTAGGGAGCTGGGTATGTGTTCATGACTGTCTCCTGGCGGTGGTACAGTGGGCAGTTTTTAGTACAGCGGAACTTAACAGGTAATGTAAGCTGCGCCTTGAGCCATGGGTTTTAGGGTGCTTGATTCAGTACTCTGGCGACATAGGCCATCACTAGCCACTTGAGATACAGTCTTTCCTTGTACTTATTGTTCAACTCTTAATCTTCTCCAGGTAGTCAAAAACTGACACCAAATGTAGTTTAGTTTTTGGGAAATCTCATCTTTTCTTCTTGGAGAAATAGTTGCCCTTCAGTCAACAGGTGTTGCCTAGCAATACGATTTCTAGCTTTCGTAGGTCAGTGCCGCTGGCTCTTTACACAGCCACACAGGTGCATGCAGAAAGATCAGCCACCAAGCAAGAAGCTTGACCTCAGTTCTTGAGACTGCAAACACTGCTCCTCACATCGTCCTGTCACAATCCATGCCATGCTGCCTCCTGACCTGCGTGTGCACTGTGAGCACAGGTAGTTCCGATGCCGCCTCTTTCTGGACTACCTGTGCCTCTCGGGGATGTTTCCTTCCTTTCGGCCATGAGGATCTGTTGCTTGGACTTTGTCTTCTTGGAAGAGAGGGCGTCATTAAAAGTTGGACTTGAGATGCCAGCACTTGGGTCTAGCAGTGTGGAAAGGGGGAGTTTTGTGAGTTATAGGCACTGCCGTAGCTAGGAGCCTGGGGCAGAGTCACCTGAGGTTTGAGGAGATGGCCGCGAAGTGTTTGCTGTGTTTGCTTGGTTTCAGTGGGAGGTGGTGTGGGCAGTTACCATGGAGTGTGAATTGCTGTTAATGTGTGTTGTGGAAATGTGACTCACAAGGCATAATGTACCAACGTAAATAAAATGTAAACATCACTGAGTCCAGCTCTCGTGTGGTCATTCCTTGCCTACAAGTTGAACTGTTACTATGAAGAATAAAAGCAGATCTTGCATGTTTTTTATACACAGTTTTATATATTTTTACTTTGTGTGTGTGCAAGGGTGCGCTGTGGTGCATTTGGCAGAGGAAGTCAGAGGACAGCTGTGGTTGCTGGTCCCCTCCTTCTTCCATAGGTGGTCAGACTTGATGGCAAATACTGTTTTTACCCATTGAGCTATCTCACCAGCCCCCACATTTCTGATTATGGAAGATAAAGTGACATGTTTGGGGCAGAGGATGTGTGTGTGTCCCATACAAAGAACAGTTGTGAGCGCGGCTCTATGGACACTAGCAACCTGAGTGAGCATGCTGGAAGCCTGGAGGAGAGGTGGCTTCTCATCCTGGCCCCATGACTGTAACAATGTACTGCTCAAGTCTCCAGTATTGAAGGGGAGGTGCTAGGACGCACATGTGAGAGACCACTTCAGGTAAGCCTACCTGTTGACGTCATGGTCGCTCCTTTAAGGCGAGGCACAGGCCTGTAGCCAGTAGGCACACAGTGTTCATGTATGTATCAAGTCTGCATGTGTTTAGGTAGCCTGGCTTTCCAGAGGAGCTCAAGTCCAAGGGCAGTGCTGCTGCAGTGGGACAGCCAAAAGGGAGGAGCCAGCGCCCGTGCAGGGCCCACTGTGCGCCAGCCTGTGCTTAGGTGAGGAGACCCAGAGAATGGCTAGGGCTCCTGTCCACACCCGGGTTCAGGCGCTGCACAGTCAGCCTAGGTGTTCAGAAGTTTGCAGTGTGTCAGTCAGTCCAGGCTGATCACTGCCTCTTGGTGTGTCAGTGCAGGATCCTTCTAGAGAGGTAGCAAGTGCGGCACACCCATGCTGCTTGGCAAACGCCTGCGCATCTCAAGCAACACTGTGTGCGGGCTTGTCTCTGGTCTTCTGGGCCTGCCTGGTACTGTCCGGTCCCTTCCATCTTTGGTGATGGGCTTCAGAGCCCACCCTCTGAGTGAGTATAGTCATTTGAGCACAGTGAAGGCCCACTAGAAAACAGCCCATAGCTTCCAAGTGGCTTTTCTTGAGCGCTCAGAACCATCAAAGTGGAGCCTTTACCACCTGTCTAAAGTGTTCCCTTGTACCGCTTTTCCCCTCTTTTTACAAAAACTTATTTATTTATTATTTATTTATTTTATTCATATTGCTGGGCATGGTGGCACATGCCTTTAATCCAGAGGCAGGGTTTCTCTGTGTAGCCCTGTTTGTTCTGGAACTCGCTCTGTACACAAGGCTTGCCTTCGACTTGGAGATCTGCTTGCCTCTGCCTCCTGAGTGCTGAAGGTATGCCCTACCACCGCCTGGCTAAAATAATTTACTTACTTCCTTACACACACACACACACACACACACACAGACACACACAATGTATATACATATATGTATGTGTGTGTATACACACATCTCTCTATCTATCTATCTATCTATCTATCTATCTATCTATCTATATCTATATATCTATATTTCCAGAGATGCTTAAGAATAGACAGTTCTTCTAGAAGACTCAGATTCAGATTTAATTCTCAGCACTCACATGGCAGTTCACAACTGTCTGGATTCCAGTGCCAAGGGACCCAATGTCATTGTCTGGTCTCCATTTGCACTTTGCCAGACATGCATGTTGGAAAGCAGATAGCATATTGTGTGGCCATTGTAGTGGGGTTCAGATCACAAATTTATTTCCCATGGTGCAGGAGGATGAGTCCAAGGTCAGGGCTGGTTCCTCTTGTAGATAGCATCTTTTCCTAATGTCCCTCTGCATTGTCTGTCTTGCTCCTAAATACCGTTAGGAAATAACTACCTGTTCTTGCTGCCAACTGGTCCAGTACCATGCTCACTATACGTTCTGCTAGTCTGGAGCCACACTCAGGCTTCGCTTGCCTCTTGCAGCTTCCTTGACTGGTGAGGAAGCCTCCAGATGGACAACCATAGTTTGGGGCCTTGGAGCTTGGAGTTTGTCCAGCTTCGTCCCTCACCTTTTGTTGTGGATCTTTGCCTTCCCATAGTGTGTATTTGTAATGGACAAGCAGAATTTGGTTTTTATGGCATAAAATAAAGGTTTTTACTTTATCTGATGATAAAGTCTTTGAGCAGTGACACCAGATGGCACTGGTTACACGGGACAATAAATCTTCCTGATACTGGAAAGTGACTTTGATTTATGTGATCAGTGCTCACCTGTGTAGGTTTGGGCAGATGGGCTAACGTGCCCTCTGGCTTTTTGACTGAGCCAGAGGTGTGGGGCTGGCTCTTGGAGGCCAGCTTGCCCATGAGTACCACAGGGTGGGCAGCCCCAGGGAGGGTCCTTCCAGTCCATCACAAGGCCTTTAGCATGTGGGTGTGTGCTGTGGCGCTCTCCTGCTTCTGCTCTGGCTGTTTACTGGGTATCAAGGCCAGGGCCATGTAGCCACTGTCTCAGGGAGGTTCCTGACTGGGGATGCTGGAGGGCATATGTGGTGCGGTCCACTGATGTGGGAGTGTCATATATCAATCCTCCCACACTTCCCTCTTTGACCTAGCCACCTTAGATGTTATCTCTAGGACTGAGAGGTTCCCTTTAATCAGCTAACAGTTGAGGAAAATACTAATGCAGACCAAACGCCACCCACCTTCCTCCCGCAGTGTATGCTGGTTACCATGGTTACCACAAAGGCTGCATTCCCAGCCGTCATGGAGCAGAAGTGCTCAGACCGTGCACAGCACTGCCACATTTTCCTTCCTTTTCTACATCTGTCAGTTCCACCAACTCTCAAACTCCCTCTCCCCTCTCTTAGAGATCACAGCCACGCCCCCTCTGAGACACAGTAAGATAACAGGTTCCCACTTTGTCAGCCTTATCTGTCTTCTCAGCCCAGAAAAATGCATGCCTGGTATCCTTGCTATTGCCAGAGAATTGCTGATTGTGTCTTTGTGGGTATATAAACTGTAAACCTTCTGGGAGGAGAGAGAACATTGAGAGAGGACCTTTTGTGAAAAATGAAGAGACACGAGAAGTCGTGTGTGAGCTGATTCGTTCACCCTCAGATCCCTTTAGCCAGTTTCATGTGCTGTAAGTATCCTGTCTGAACCCCGAGGGAGCACCAAGGTTGGTACTTGTGCTCCAAGGTGACAGGTCCCTGGGCTCTGCAGACAGACATGAGGGATTAGTATATCCCAGCCCTGTACTGTTTGTGGTTTTGTGGAAACCCACAGCACCATTCATACCGGGTGGGCAGCAGGCAACTGGGGACACAACTTAGCTAGTTCTCTCGTCTGTTCCTTTAGCGAGGGTCTTCCCATAGAGTCCAGTGACAGCCATGTTCCCGGCACCTGCAGGTGTGGATCCTGGGATGACCCCTTTTGGGCAGATGGCTAGAGCCTGTGGCCTCCTCCTAGGAGAAGATACTGTGTGTGAGTCTTCAGCAGGCTGAATCACCAGGCCACAGAGCCTTGGTCCTCCCCACCAGCCCTTTGACTTAGGAAGGCATGGCTGGCTCTGGAGCATGGACCTCCCTGGAGAGGTTTCCTTTTCTGTCCTTTATCCCTGAGACCAGGAGCAGCCTTTAGGTTCCCTGGAGCTGGGGCCTGGTGCGAGGGAGGGCGGCCTGCTTCTGCATCCTGTGTGTGCTGCCGTCTGCTTCCCACCGTACAGTCAGGCCCCAAAGACCTGAGAGGTAGGAGCAGAGCCAGGAGAAGACCACTGCACATAAGGACAGGCAGGACCCGAGCATAGTGCCATGGTTGTGTTCTGGAGCCCTGCAGCCAGCGTGTCGTGTTCTTGAGCACTCTTCCTTATGACAGACTGCTCTCAAGCTCTGCCCCTCCCTGAGGTGTTCTGGTTTCTGCAGATTCAAAATGGCTCTTGAGAAACTACACACCCTGGGCCCCCTGGATGTGACCCTATGGGGACCCCAGCCTTTGCAAATAGTCAGAGGTCTAGACAAGCTTCTGTTTGCTTTAGGGTAGACATTGGGGTCAGTGCTAGGTTGCTAGGTGTAAGAGAAAGGGGTGGGGTTGAGACAAACACAGCTATCTGAAGACAGCAGCTGTGTGTGTGTGTGTGTGTGTGTGTGACAGGAACCAGGCCACCTGGAGCCTCCTGAGATCTGTCACCAGAGCTTAAACTTTGAGAGAATAGGTGTGACTTCCAAGTCTGAGGCCAAGTGTCACTGCAGCCTGAGATACAAGGCACGGACTGCATGCCCTAAGCATGCTGCGTCTGCGGAGAGCATGTGTGTCTTCCGTATCTTAGTCCTAAGTGCCACTACATAAGCGCACTGATTATTTAATATCGTGTGTGATGTGTTTATGGGCACACTCATGCCACAGCGCACATGTGACGGTCAGAGCGACAACCTTGTCGAGGAGGTTCTGTCCTTCTACCTTCATGTGCGTTCTGGGGATCAAACTCAGGTTCTTAGGCTGTGTGGCAAGGGTCTTTAACTGCTGAGCTAGCTCACTGGTGCTAGCCCTGGATGGATCCTTCTTGTACTGCTCAGACTGCCTCAAACTTGCTTTATATATTTTTATTTATTTATTTTTTAAAAAAGATTTATTTATTATGTATACAACATTCTGCCTGCATGTATGCCCGCAGGCCAGAAGAGGGCGCCAGATCTCATTACAGATGGTTGTGAGCCACCATATGGTTGCTGGGAATTGAACTCAGGACTTCTGGTAGAGCAGCCGGTGCTCTTAACCTCTGAGCCAGCTCTCCAGCCCCTTGCTTTATTTTTTAAAAAATGTATGTATGTATGTATGTATGTATGTATGTATGTATGTATGTGCATGTGTGTATGTAAGTGCGTGTGTATGTGTGTGTGTGCTTGTGTGTGCAGGTGGCCACAGGGGTCAGAGGGGGACATCAGGTCTGAGCTGGAGTTCCAAGTGCTGCTTATTGCCGAATCTGATAGAACAGTAATTGCTCTTAACCTCCAAACCTGGTGTCCAGCCACGAATAAAA